CCGCCGCGCCAGCAGACCCGGTGGGTGGCTCGGGCGGCTGCGTCTGGTGACGGGCGGGCAGAGGGCAGCGGGCGCGGGGCGAGGGGCAGGCGCGGGCGGGGGGACAAGGCGGGCGCCGCTGGAGCCCGGGTGGGGGGCGAATCTGACCCGGGCCGTCTCTTCCGCGCTGCAGGACTTCGCCTTGTGCCAGGCTTTCGTGCGCTTGAAAGGGCTGGCCGTGCTCGCCATGGGTAAGCGCCCCCTGTCCGGGGGTCCCGTGGGGGGGTGGCTTTAAAGGGGGAAAGGGGGGCTCCATGCTGCCTTGAAGGCGCTGGCTGAGCCTCTGCTTGTCTCCACGCAGGTACCGGAGTGGCCTTTGCTGTCCTCAGGAAGCCTCTTCCTCTCCCCTGGAGCGGGCTCCTCTCTCTGGGTTGGTATTTCTAGGGAGCGCTCCCCCCCCCCAATCCCAGAGGCAAACCGGCCCTTGGGGTGGGCGGTGGGCGACCAAGATTCTTTTCCCTTGGCTGAATTTAGCAATGCCATGGAAAACTCCCCAGGAGCCTCCTCAAATTGAGGCCCCTGGGGGAGGAGGGGTGGTCCCTGCCAGAGATGGGATTTCCCCCATGGGCGTTCCCAACCCCAACCCTGGTTGGGCGACCCCTTGGATTGGGAAGAGAGGCGATTTCAGAGGGACTCTCCTCTTCTTGGGCTCCTGCAGCTCTGGCTGCCTTACCCACCTACGCTGTTACCCGGAATCAGCTGAAGAACTGTGCTGACCAGTGGGACTTCCAGACCCCTCCCCAAAGGTAGCCCGAAGGTGAGCAATGGGGGGGGGGGGTCGAAGCTGTTCCAAAGGCTGCAGCCACATTACGGATCTCAACCAGGCAGGGCGTGGAGGCCTGCTCAGGAGAAGCAATGCGGTCCCTTGGAGTTTCGTGCAATGTGTGAACAAGTTTGTCGGGGGGCCACGCGTTGCGTTGAGCGTCGAGCTGCTCCTAGCTCAGCCCCTGGCAAAGGCTGGCAGATTTTATGCCCTTGGAATAAAGGACACTCAGAGACCTCTGGCTGGGTTGCGAAATTATTTCTTCCTTTTATTTATTAATTTTGGGTAGGTTGGCTGCTCAACTCCTGCAAAGAGGAAGCGGGGGACGAAGGCCCGGAAACTGCAAAGGCCCTTCAAAGATCAGTTAACCACGTACATTTTCTGAAACGCAAACTCTTTGCCAAATCAAATGCAGAGGGGATGGGCTAGATGCCCTTCGGGACCCTTCAGAAGGAAACCCCCTTCTCGGAAGAACCCCACTGTGCCCTGCCCAGCCTTTATCCTTTGCTCCCCAATATCCCTCGTTGAGCTGCGGAGGATGGGTGGGTGGAGAGAACAGGAGGAGGAAGACAAAGAGAGGCAGGTGTGAAGCTGGCCTCCCTCAGCAACAGTGGTGGGTTTCAAAAAAAAATTCGAACCTACTCTGTGGGTATGGCCTCCTTTGTGGGAGTGGCTTGCCGGCCATGTGACCGGGTGGGAGTGCTTGCCAGCTATGTGACTGGGTGGGTGTGGCCGACTTGTAAAATGTGGTGAAACTCACTTAACAACGCTCTTGCTTAGGAACCAAAATGTTGGCTCAGAAACTCTGGCATTGAAGTGTGCAAGTCTTAAAGCTGTGAAGTTACAAGAGCCTCGCACCCCTACCCCTTTAGAAAAAAAATCCCAGGGGAGTTCAAACTTGACAGTTTTAGGACTTGTGGACTTCAACTCCCAGAATTCCCCCTCTCACTCTTCATCTGGATGAGGCGCGGGGGGGCGGGGGGAGGGAGCTGGAACCGGTTCTAAACGGCACTGTAGATTTGTGGAATCTCTTCTATAGAAGA